TGTACTGATGGCACAAAACTACCGCCGTTTTTCATATTCAAAAGAAAAACTCATCCGAAAGAAAAACTTCCAGCAGGTGTAATTGTTCATGTTCATCCGAAAGGCTGGATAGATGAAGCTGGAATGAAACTGTGGTTACAGAACGTATGGACGAGGCGACCTGGTGGACTCTTAAAGAAAACCCTCTCTTTTGGTTTTGGATCAGTTTAGCACCTATAGAACTGAAACCATAAAGAATAAAGCAAGAGAATTAAAAACTCAGCTGTCATTCCTGGTGGACTGACTAGCCAATTGCTGCATTTAGACGTATCCATGAATAAGCCATTTAAGGAAAAAGTGTGAGAACAATGAAACAAGTGGATAGGAGAGCCACATCATGCCCTCAGACCCTCAGGTAGAATGAAGCGGCCCTCTATTTCACAAGTGTGCGAGTGAGTAAAAAGATCTTGGGAGGACGTAAAGGCTGAAGTAATTGTTAAGTCCTTTAAGAAGTGCGGAATCAGTAATGCTCTTGACGGAACAGAAGACAACGCATTATTCGAAGAAGGTGATACTAGTGATGACGGAAACAGAAGTGATGACGATATTCTCGTTTTCGATGATGATGATAGTGAAAAGGATTTTTATGGTTTTGAAAGTGATTAAAGTCTAATTTCACGATAGGCAACGTTTTCCTTGAATCTGTGTTTTTTGTTGTTTCTGCTTTATTTTGTACTATGTTTGATTGCTTGCCGTTCATTCATTTATTCATTATTGAAATTTACATATGTTCAAAATAGCTTGCTGTTTGTTAATTTTCCTTAATAAAAATATGTTTGGTAACTGCATTCAATGATTGTTTATTTGGCTTTTACGAAATGTGACAACTAAACGAAACCATAGTTTAAGTTAATATTGCGGTACTGCGCTGTCGTGTGGACTATTGAAACTTTTTTTCCTTGTGTGTGGCCTTCTAAATAAGGGTGCGTCTTATATGCCAGTGCATCTTATATGCCGTCAAATATGGTATTTCCTAAATTATTATTAACATTTATGATGAAATAACAATCAGGATTCTCCAGCGGAAAATAATAGTTTCATGAAGTTTGGTTTCATTTGCACTGGAAAAACAGATTATGTACAAAATCCCCAATGCATACTTTTGTAGCACTGTGTTTTCAAACTCAGATCTGAAGTCATCTAAACTGTGGAACATTTCAGTAATTGGGATGATGGTGTAGATTTTGCAGGCCATGATACTGAATCATTGAAAACTAAAAGAGTCCAATTTGAGTCTTGAGCAACCCTCCCAAAATTGGGTTTTAGGGGGTGCCAGAATAAGTTTTAAGAGGTGCAGAATATGAAAAAAATTGAGAACTTGTGATCTCGACCGTGCTTGGTTACAGAGATCATTAGAGAAATTTCTGGGCTCCAGAACCTCAGTTTGGGTTGGTCTTCCTTGTGTTTGAGTCTTGGTGCACTCTTTCTATAGTCAGTCAGTCTTGATGAAATGGCTATGCTGGGATGATCATGAAATTTTGTTCATACTTATCATTTATTGATATCTGCCACACTAGCTCATAAGGTACATGTCTGGACTGACAGATCATTCTGTAATGATAATTAGGGAAAAATGTATGCAAACCATTTAATGCATCTGACAGTTTAATATGTTTCATTTTTCATTCCTATTTTATGATAAAATAGTTTTAAAAAGGGAGTTAAAATGAAATAAAATGTTCTTAGTTGTCGTTCTAAAACTGCATTTAAACATTAATAAAATAGCAGCTTTTACCCTGTGTAGGACCTTGCAGAAAACAAGAAAAGAAGGGGAACTTGATTCTTTCATTTCACTTGCACCTCATGATGCAGATGGATCATCTGCAACAGCTACTATTTTGCTAATGTTTAAATGTTATTTTTGCAAATCAACCCAGGACAGAAGTTTATTAGAACTGAACACAAGTTAGTTTGAAACTGTTGCATTGTATTTCATGTTTAATATTTTCGTATGATTACTTGACCCGATATACTTTCTGTCATGTGTCAAATGATGTTATTTCATTGGGAAAATGGTGATGTTTCATGTGTCATTGGGGAAATGGGTAATATTATTATTAAGAACAGTTAAATCTGCTGTGCAAATTTTCAAGCATTAATTCGTGTGCAGAATGGCAGTTTTTTTGTGAATAAATAATGTAAATAAAAATTATCTATTGCTAAATAAAATTTGACCGAGTTTGACTTTTTTATTCGATTAGTCCTATATTATTTAGCTGCATGACATTTTTCTCATGTTATGATAAACGCAATCTTATTTCATGTCTAAAGTCTTTCACAAAGGCATTCCTAGCATTATAAGTAAATTTAATGAAGTTTATAGCAAAAACCATTTGTTACCAAAAAAAGGAAGCAACTGCTATCTGTTTCTTGCTATCATTAGTTTTTACACGAGCTAAAAAAGTATGGCATTATAATTAAATGTAATTAGTGTTAAGTGGAATCTATGTTTTTTAAGGTAAATTGTCATGATTCCAGGTGGAATAGAGCTTTAAAATTCATCCAATTCAAGCAGCTTATTTCTCTTTTCTTCAGTTTTTCTCTGAAAGATTTGTCAACACTCAACGATAAACTTTAGCACTAAATAATATTTCTGAAATTTTTGAGTTTTCTATTGCATAGTGATAATTTTTTTGTTCTTTAAGTTATGAAATTCATTTCCTTATTGTTCTTTCTGTTATTTCAGATTTAGTTGTTATTATCAATGTAACCAGCTGTTTGAAGAGGAAATTATTATGTGTAAAATTTGGACAAAAACAATTTAATGCATTTATTTTATCATCCAATTGCAAGTTAAAATATATCTTTATTAAGAAAAAAGCATTAAATTTGATCTTATCGATTTAAGAACTGTGAAAAGCAAAAACTCAGAAAGTGGAAAAGAATAGGAAGCCACAGTATTGCTTTCATCCCACTTCCCTAAAAATATAAACCCAAAGGAAGCTCTGTGTGGAATCTAATTGTCAAGTATTGCAAATTGCAGTGTCGTAGTTTGAGTGGGGTTGAGGTGACAGTCTGCCTAGGCACCACTTATTGGAGGGCTGCATTTTTTCCTGTGAGATACAAATTTACAGGTGTTAATTGTAGATTATTAGGGTGGAAAAGAGAAACTGGTAATAACTGAAGAATCATGTGGTGACAGTTATCTTGCGAAATGTATTTGAAAAGTGAAATAGTTTTTATATTTGACACCGTATTTGAAAAAATTATAATGAGATTTTGATTGATTCATGTTTCCGTTATGCATTCCTTTGTCCATTAAAATTTTCGTATGGAAAATATGAATTTCAATTAAATTATGATCATAGTGGCATTAATAAGGGGAAATATTTTATTTAGAAAGAAAACTTCAGAGTTTTATTTCTGTTATTGCTAAGGAAGATGAAACAGAAAAGTAAAGTCTCTTAGCTTTTGCAATTTATTCTAACATATGAACTTCAGAATGCAATTCCATGTATTATAATACTACAGCAAATTTGCTTCATGATTGCTGAGTTATTTTTTGTCAAATAAGTTAAAAAAATAATAATCAACTTAATGACCAAGATCTACAAATAAGTATCTTACCTTTAAAATATTATTATACACTGACTAACCAAAACATTGACTGACTAACCAAAACATTGACTAACAAAACATAGCTTTCTCCACATTTTTCAATGAACTTGTTTGAATGATGTGGAGGTATGTGATTAAGTGAGAATGGTATTTAACTGCTGCTCCTGACAAGATAAGGAATCATTCTTGTACCTCCTTTTGTGAGTGATGGGAAAGCCTGCTGATCTAAGCGAATTTCATAGATGGCAGATTGTAATGGCCAAAAGACTCAGAACAAGCAGCTCTGAAACTGCATTACTGGTAGGTTATTCATGATCTGCTAATGTTAGTATTTATGCAAAGTGGATAAATGATAGTGAAACCAACAATAGATACCAAGTTGTTGGACATCCATGCATCATCAAAGAAAAAGGTCGTCGGAGATGTGTCCCTCACAGCAAAATCGGCACCAGACAGTGACCAAGTGTTTCAGAACTCACTGTTGGATATGGGACTGCACAGCAGAAGACCTACTTGTGTGTGTCTGTTGACCAAGTATCATTGTCAGTTACACCTACAGTAAGCACGGGAACATCAAAACTGGACCCATGAATAAGTGGAAGACAGTTCGGATGAATCATAATTTCTTATTCATCATGTAGAAGGTCTTGCCAATGTGTGCTCTCTGCTAGGCGAACAGTTGCTCCCCAGCTGTACAGTAGGTAATACACAGGCTGGTGGTGGAAGTATTATGCTTTGTGTGATATTCCCACGGGTGACTCTAGGACCCTTAGTTGTGGTAGAACAGACTATGAAAGCTGCAGACTATCTGAACATAATTGCATATCAGTTGCACCCTTACATGGTATCTGTCTTCCCAAATGTAAATGGAATCTTTCAACAGCAACCTGTCTCCAATCGTCTCCTAAGAAGTTGCAGCATCCATTCCAAAGCAAGTTGCAGCTGTTTTGCAGGTCAGGGTCATGCAACACATTATTGAGTAAGTGGTCATAATGTTTTGGCTCTTCAGTGTATATTGGTGTATATTGTCTTCCAAATTGCAAAGCAAAGTAAAAAAAAAAATAGTGTGCATTAAGTGAGATGCCAAATGCCAGGTCTACCCATGACACTTGCCACTGGCAGTTACTGTATGTTTTTGCAAACTGTGAAATCGCACTATTAACCATTGCTATGTTCTATATAATTGAGTATGAATGCATTTAAGGATAATTTCAATTTGTTTTGATCATATTATTTTTTAAATGTTAGTGGATGTAGTGGTATTTCATGTCCAGTTCCTATGATGATTTAGAGTTCTTTTAAAAATGGCTATAATTTTCTTATCTTTTCAGATTTTTGTTTTGTTTTAAGTGAATTTTAGAATTTTGTAAATATTTTAAAATTTTAGTTATTTTTTGTTATAGACAGTGACCTGGATTTTGATCCAACTGCAGAAATGTTAGTCAATGATTTTGATGATGAACATACTTTAGAGGAAGAAGAAGCTATGGAAAGTGCAGAAAGTGTTACTAATGAGCTCGATGATTTGCAGCGTGTGAGTATATTTTGTGATAGCTGAAAATTGCTACTGTTATGTGTTGTTTGATGATGTTTTCTCTGAATTGGAAAATTGGCTTATTACATCATTAAACCTTTTCAGTGTTATCTTAAGAAATAAATACTTATGTGTAAATAAACTTGTTTTCTTTTGTAATTGAAAAAGATTAATTTTAATAATTAGTTTTAACATATTGTTTCATCACATTCTTCCTTCACGTTCATATGGGAATTGTAGATTTGGAGTGAATAATGACGACACTTGATGAAGTATTGAAACACACTTTATTTAGCCAATATTAATCAGGACAGCTCCAAAGTCACTTTTTACAGTCGCCGAAGTTCTACTACACTCGCTGGAACAATCAGCGACACAGCCTTCAGGTTATCAGACTATTACGGTGGAGACAACTTCACTGCAAAGCACCAGTATGGCTCCCGACTGTGCTTGGTCGTTCTTGGAACTCCATGTACTCTCGAGACTCTCCTCGCTACAACTCACGATGCACTCGATGACACACAGAGCATAGCTCCCGACTTTTCGGTTCAGCCATTCCCGGAGCTCAACACACTTTCTCGATGATATACTAACTGTGATACACTAAGAAACTCTTTCGATGCACTCAACGGCCCACTCGGCACTCGCTGCCCGGCTGTGAACTCGACTGACTCCTCACGGACTATCTCGCCCTGACTCTGCATGTACCAGCAAGTTTATATAGTTTTTGGCTTGTGTTTGAGAACATTCTGGGCTAAACCAGTAAAAATTCATTCCAGAAGGTTCATCCATCCATGGCATGTCACCAAATGTAGCAACCCTGCCTTCCCTTTTCATTTTATGCCAACCCTTAACCTGCTTTGCGAGGAAGCTATCTTACCAGGCCTGGACATTTCGAAAACACTGCCCTCTCCCAAGGACTGCATGTCCCGGGCAGTACAATCCTTGTTCAGAAGCTTAATTCGATACAACCAAAACATAATACAGTACAAGTCTGTAGCCGGACGTCCATTATCCGAATGATCTATCATCTGGACCTCAAAGCCCAAACTTTTTTTGTATGTTACGCATGCACGTTTAATGTTACGCATGCCGTTTAGCACAAAAAACGAAGTAACTTAAACACTTACATTGAAAGAAATGTTTAATAAAGTAAACCAATAAATATTAAGCTTTTTTTTTTTTTGATACCCTTATATCAGAATTGCTCTTTATTCATAAATTACGGTTCATAATTTAATTGTATAATTTCTGCATGCCCTCTTACCAGATTTAAATTGATGAGCTATAACCTGGAAAACCCTTAATCCGAATCACCAATTCCCGACGAGTCCGTTACGGACTTGTCTTGTAAAACAAACATAAAGAACAATATTTAACGATGTACAAGTTATATACACATTAAACCATCACAATTTAAAGTTCCAAATTAAATTTCAAAGATTTCAGTCTCAGTCTTTCATGACGATATACTCAGGTCAATACTTTTCACTGCAATTCTCATATGTATTCCTGTTTTCAGTCAGATCTAATATTCAGACTTTTCATCCGCATAGATCTGAGCAGTTTGTCACACTCTGTATCATTCGCGCATGCGTACATTCGCCTTGGTATTTTAGCAATGTACGTGCTTATTTTCCTCCATTTCCTAGAACTATTCGATTTCTCCCAGGGTCATAATAAATCCTATCCTTACAAGCTGAATTTCAGTTTAAGGAGTCCTTGCTGCTCAACCTGTAATGAGCCACACCCGTTTGGAAGTGGATAATTTCCTGCACTACTGGAGTACACTGCTTAAGCTGCCTCAGCTTCTCCCATCTTGCCAAGACATGCACTTTCAGATGGCAACACTTACGTGCTGCGACTTGTACTTCACTCTAAGTTTTACAAACTTAACATCACTTTCATTTTCTTCCAGGCACCGGTGCTTGGATCAAAGCTTTTTTTCTGTTTTATTTCTTTCTTCGTGTTTTTGTTCTTTTTCTTCAATCTCGTTAGATGTTTCACCCATCATTTCGTGATCTTTCTCAGGCAGTTCATTAGCTACTTCTTTCATTTCTTCATCCTTTGTTTCTTCAGATGCCACTTTTCTCATTTCCAGATCGTCTTTTACGGCTCCAATTTCTTCTGTAAGCACCACTTTCACCTGTTGGAGTTGCTATCGCAACTTTTCTTGGCCGACATTTATTTCTTCTTGTCGGGCTTTCTCCTCTTTCTTCTCGTCGGGCTTTCTCCTCTTTCAGTCCGGCTTTGATCTCAGCTCTTATCTCTTCATATCTTGCTTTTATCTCTTCCCGTCCAGCTTTCATTGAATCATATCCGGCTTTCATCTCAGCACATCTGGCTTTTAACTCTTTCAATTTAGATTTCATCTCTTTCAGTTCGGCTTTGATCTCAGTTTTTATCTCGGCTGTCATCTCTTCTTGCCCGGCTTTTATCTCGGCTAAGAAGTCTTCGTTTCCTCTGCAGGGGGAGTCACTGGAATTCACTTGCAAACCCTTCTTCGGACACCACTTGTTTCGTTACATTCTTCCTTTACGTTCGTATGGGAATTGTAGATTTGGAGTGAATAATGACGACACTTGATGAAGTATCGAAACACACTTTATTTAGCTAATATTAATCAGGACAGCTCCAAAGTTACTTTTTACAGTCGTCAAAGATCTACTATACACTTGCTGGAACAGTCAGCGACACAGCCTTTTGGTTATCATAATATTACGGTGGAGACAGCTTCACTACAAAGCACCAGTACAGCTCCCGACTCTGATTTGTCATTCTCGGAACTCCATGTACTCTGAAGACTCTCCACATTGCAACTAGTGATGCACTCGATGACACACAGAGCATAGGTCCCGACTCTTTGGTTCAGTCATTCCTGGAGCTCAACACACTCTCTTGTCGATGCACTAACCACGATACCCTAAGAGACTCTTTCGCTGCACTTGATGACCCACTCAGCACTTGCTGCCCAGCTGTGAACTCGATCAACTCCACATGGACTAACTATCTCGCACTGACTCTCTGTGTACCAGCGGGGTTTATATAGTTTTTGGCTTGTGTTTTTTTGCATCTGTCCATGAAACTAAATTGTCTTTGATATTACTTACCCGACTTGGTGTACAGTTTCACCAGAAACCATTCAGCACCTAAAGGCTTGATTTTGTTAAAAAATCATACTGTACAATTGCTTTATTCTTTTGGGTGTGAGTTATTCAGAAAATTACATTGTGCAATGTCAAAAACTGGAGATTTGAAATAGTCATTCATTTAATCTTATCATCACTTCCAAAGATATACAGTCAAAAGTCGTTAATCCGGACTCGTCGGGACTTCGGCGATTCCGGATTATCGATTTTTCCGGATATTGGATCGTCAGTTTCAATCTAGTAAGATGGCATGTAAAAATTATAAAATTAAAAATATGAAATCGGGATTTATGAAATCATGAAATATTTATGATCTAAAGGGTATCAAAATTACAAAACAAAGCTTAATATTTATTTGTTTACCTTTTTAAACATTTCGTTCAATGTATGTTGTTTAAGTTGCTTTGTTTTTTGTGATAATACTTTCTTTTTAATTCCATAGACAGACATAATCTCTTTTTCAGTTACATTGTTGAAGTCTTGGAACCGCTGTTTGGAGCATTCCGACTAACTTGTCCAACGAAATTTTTTCGTTTTCACTAACCTCTCTGTCACATTCTTCATGTCTTTATCCGTTTTTGGGCATTCCACTTTTTGTTTGTTGGACATGGAAACATCTATTCGTTTTGTAGATCTTTGGAAGTTCCAGCATCGGAAATTCTTTTCGACATAATCGAAAGTTTACTTTTATAAAATTGCTCTTACAGTCTGCAAAAATAATAAGCAAATCCATTCGAAGATTAAGAACAACGCAAATCATCAACATTAACGATAGATAATTAGCTAATTTTACAACCATCCTTTAAATAAAAACGATTCTGCGCTTGCGCACACACATATGCGCAGTCGTAAAGGTCTTACGTGCACGCATAAACGCCTATGCACATGTGTCAATGTGGCGCATGTGCAGAAAGTTTTTAGCTTTGAGGTCCGGATTATAGATCATTCCGGAGTATGAGTGTCCGAATTAACGACTTTTGACTGTAATCACTTCCAAAAATGTTGTAACTTTTACCACATTTTTCTCCTATCCTGTATAGTTAAATATGTCATGAATAACACTTAACCTACATAATAAAATATGCCATTTTTAAGAGAATTTCCTTTGAGTGTTCTTTTTCTTTACTTTCCTATGTTCATTTTTTTTTTCTTTTGATCATAATTTGACTATACAATGGTTCTGCTAGAAGTAATGCAAAATTTGGCCTAATGTTTTTATTTGCCCAATACAGATTGTCCAAATTCTACATATGGTTGGAGTCATTCTTCCTTTTTGTGACTGTGTTACTCAACATCTTTGGAAAAATTCAGGTGTTCACAGTTTTAACCCACCTCTTAACAACCAGTTTTAGTTCATTCAGATCAGTGAAGGATCACTCCTTTATATTGTCCTTTAATGGAACAAAGGATTAGATATTCAGAAAGCTCAAGATCAGGTTTGTAGAATGAATGAGAGTTGTCTATCCCGCTGAAGCCCACCAGCGGCCGAGCGGTAAAGTCGCTGAACACTGGTAGTTCGGTCCGAGTTCGAATCCTGTGAACGGGCTGGCTGCGTGGGTGTTTTCGTGGTTTTCCCCATGTGTAGCATGTATACGAGCCAGTTTCCTTTAGAAAGTCCTCCATGAAGCCATCCCTCCTCTTAGGCAGATAGCCCTCGAGGTTTTGCCATAATCACACACACACACTATCCCGCTGAATTTGCTCACAATGTGAGTTATTTCCTGACACATGAGAACATACTCTTTCATGGTGAATGTTGATTGTGTTCAGGTTCTAGTATCTTCTTTTTAATGGTTTCTTGAAATTTTTTTAGTGGGTACTGATCATAATATGGTTATGTTCCCCCCAAAA